CCTGAACACAGCAGACACTTAGCCACCTTCACACTGCACCTGAACACAGCAGACACTTAGCCACCTTCACACTGCGCCTGAACACAGCAGACACTTAGCCACCTTCACACTGCACCTGAACACAGCAGAGACACTGAGCTGCCTTCACACCACACTTGTGTTTGTGTCCAGGCCTACCTGCTGATTGAGGAGGACATCCAGGATCTGTCTCGTAGTGATGAGTACAAGTGAGTCTGATGTCACTCCTCTGTCTCCATGGTAATTGAGGTTTGTCTGTCTGTGGTTACCATGGTAACAGGTGTGTGTGTGGGTGTGCGTGTGCGCGCAGGGACTGCCCGGATGTCAGGATGGACGAGTTGAAGCCATTCTCAGTTCCTCTGTGGATGGTGGAGAAGATGCAGAGAGCCATGGAGGCTCAGAGAGATGCTGACCTCTGACCCCACCCCCCACCACACCAATAGATCATTGTGAAACCTGAGCAGACGCTGTAGAAACAATGAACCAATAAGGGGGAAGAGAGATTTATCATGTGATTGTTATGGTTACTGCTGTTTTTTTTTTTAAATAAAAAACTAAAAAACTCTGAACTCTGCAGGTTGTGACATCATATGTTTTATTTACAAAAATAAAGCAAAACTCAAACAGAAAGTGGGGTCATCAGAGGGTGGAGCTTCACTCAATCCCTTCCTGTTTGTCCTTGATGGCGACTCTGAAGCGTTCCTCCAGCAGAGAGAGCTCGCTAATGAGGTCAGTGATGGCATTCGTAAATGCTTCCTGTCAAGAAAAAAGACTGATGAGCTGCTGGTGAACTTGGCTCATCGCCATGGTGACACTGCAGATGTCACCTGCTCAGCTTTACACTGAAAACAAGTTCCTGTTATATGTAATAACTTCTCCCGCCTTAATTTCAAATGTCAGATTCAAACTTTATTCAGACAAGATTTCATGTAGCTGGCACACAAGAAGGAAGAGAGGCATGAGTTGGTTAAAAAATAAAGTCACAAATGGACACATCAGGGTGACAACACGTCAGAGTGATGACACGTCATTGACGACATGTCAGAGTAACGACACGTCAGTGACAACATGTCAGAGCAATGACACGTCAGAGTGATGACACGTCAGAGCGACATCACGTCAGAGTGATGACATGTCAGAGCAATGACACGTCAGAGTGATGACACGTCAGAGCGACATCACGTCAGAGTGATGACATGTCAGAGCGACATCCTGTTTACCTCCAACTTAAACAATCGCTGACTCTGTGTGTGTGTGTGTGTGTGTGTGTGTGTGTGTGTGTGTGTGTTACCTGTGGGCTGTAGTCAGGTGTGGTCTGCACCCTGATGACGATCTTGTGTTCCAGAGGATGAGGAACTTTATAACCAGCAAACAGAACCTGAGGATCCTTCAACAGCTGACTGACACACACACACACACACACACAC